AACCAGTTCTCTGGACATTGATAGGCATTTAGGTTGTTTCCTGTTTTTTATCATTTTACCCCCTGACATGAAAAACAACAATGCAGTGAATATTTGGGGCACGCATGTACAGTGGTAGGCAGAATTTCTAAAATAGCTCCACAAAGATGTCCTATCCTAATTCCCAGAAACTGAATATGTCAAGTTATCATGCCTGTAAATATGTTACATGGAAAGAAGAGAGGCTTTGCAGCTGTAATTAAGGTTACTAATCAATTGATATTAAAATAAGGAGATTATCCTAGATTATTTAGGTGGACCAGAGGTAATCACATGAGCTCCTTAAAAGGAGACAAGAGGAAAGCAGAAGAGGAAGACAAAGTGACTCAAAGCATGAGAAGGATTTGATGTGCCATTGCTGCTTTGAGACTGAATGAAGGTGAAGGGGCCCCATGAGAGGGAATATGAGCAGCTTCGAAGATCTGAGAGCAGCAGTCCCAGCTGACAGCCCATTAGCTGAGGTTGAGAACTTCAGTCCTACAACCTCAAGGATTGTCAGCCCTATATATTATCATACTTTACATCTTTGCTAACCTCTTAGGTAAACAATGTTTCACTGTATTTAAAATTTTTATTCATTTAATGTTTGAGGGTTTGAGGTTAGGCATTTTTTCACGTGCTTAAACGCATTTGTGTGTGTGTGTGTGTCCCACCAAACTTGATGTGTATTTCCTTTGCCAACTTTTGTAAATTGCTTTTAAAGAATTCTTTATTATAGTAAGGGAATCTGCCCATTGTCATATTTGTTTGTTGATTTTTTGGGGTATTTTTATTTACAGAATTTAATAAACTTTGTTGTCAAATTTATCTTATATCTTATTTTACATCTTCCAGATTTTTTGTATTGGTTAAAATTTCCTTCCCTTCTCTGAGGTATTACAATGCTCTCTTATGGTGCTTTATAACACTTCTATGGTCTCACTTTTCACATTTAACTCTTGGATTCATATAGCATTTATTTTTTGTATAAATAATGCAATAGCAACTCAACTTACTTTTTTCCTCAGGTAACTACTCAGTTGTTTCAACATCATTTATTGAATTGTCCATGTTTCCCCCTCAAACTTGAAAGGCAAATCTAATCTTATATTAAATTCCCATATGTATTTGATCCAGTTCTGGATTCCATTCCTATTTGGTTCTAGTAATGTAATCAACTATTTATCATATGCTTCATTTAAATAATTGTTCAACTGAGTTTCTCAAGGCTGACCTTTTTGGGGAAATTTTTGTCTCATTTGCACTTTCTCTTAGGCTCAGTTTAAGTGAATTCTATTTTTTGTTCCTATTAATATCAAAATATAAATGCAAAGAATATATTTAATATTTTTGTGTAACTTACAAATAATTATCCCTCCTTTCCCAAGAAAGGGCAACATTTTACCTTTTATTTCACTTGATCTTAACATATTTAAGGAATACTTTTTTATTTCCTGAGGTGGGTTCCAAGTTGCTATTTCCTACTGCCAATTCATACCTGTTTTCACTGTGCTCACTCCTTCTCCCACACTCTCGACTATTCCAGCTCCTTCGTGGCCCATAATGATAGGATAGTGATCATGGTGAAGGGTTTTACTCTTCAGCATTTTCATCTCTGTACCACAGAACCCCGTGGCTACGATCTGTATGAAAGGCAAAGAGTAATATAGTTTTCTCTGTCTCAGATAAAGATATTTTAGAATTGTTAATGTTTAAAACCTTTTTGCTAGTTTGATATGCTGCATTAATATTAATGCATTCACTTCTTAGTTTGAACTCTAGATAGGGGTCAATAATTTGTTTAAAGCAATGCAGTGTTTTTCATTAACTAATTTCAGAATCAAAATGATTTGAAAACTTACTGGGCAGGGCAGAATGAATTCAGAAGAGACAGTTGTAAATTCACAGTGTAACATCAAATGTCTTACTTTGTCCTTATTTGGAGCTTGTGGGTGGGAATGTGGAGGAAAAAGACCAGTTATAGAAATGAAGGAACTGGAACAAAGGAAAGAAAGGGCTCATGTCTCTTATTATAATTGAAGCCTTAATTTATTTCACATGAGGGCTTCATAGTTTTATTATGGGTACAAGTCATAATCCCACTTTTTGTAGTCAATCAGCCAGATAGTTTAAAATTGAGGAACTCAAAGCAGTGGTAACAAAAGGGTTCAAGGCTGAAATCCTGGCTCTGCTCCTTTTTAGCTGTCTGACCTGGAGGTGAATTATCCTCCTGAGTGTTGGTTTCTTCATCTCTAAAATGGGCATGAAGTTGGCATGCATGCATTAGCACATGCACACACACACACAGAGCTAAGTCAAGAATTGAAATCTATTGATTTTTGCCCATGAAAATGGGAAATTATTGGAAGAATACCACAAAATTGCTTGTAACCTGACTGTAGGAAATGCATTCAGACCTAATGGATCTATTAATCCATCAAATAGCCTTTGTCTTCATTTCTCTACTTTGATTCAACATGTGATTAGCTGCATTTTCCTATTACTCTATAGACCGGCTTACTCTAATTTGTCATGATCACATCGTTAAAATTCGCTACCAGCCCTGAATCCCTCCAGCCTCTCCAGTGCCCACCATCCCCTGCCTGGCTCACTCTCTATATCTTGTTCAATTTCATGAGTGAGAGATTCAGATTTGTAGCTTATCAGATGAATGGTTGGATGTCTTTGAGTTAGTGTCCAAATCTTGTTGTATGAGTTGAGACCCTGTGGGTGGAGAGTGGATAGGGATAGCCAGTGGTCCTTTGTGCAATCCACAGGGGATGTAAGCCAGAGAAGGCTCTCTGGAAATAGGACACGGATTGCATAAGCAAGGTAACTTGTCTGTAATCCATTAATAAACAGTACTTAGTCATCATTTTTAAAATTAAATAGTGACAATTAAAACATCTGATTTAGAAGTCAGGTGAACTACCTTTTGGACTGGTAGCCCCTTATTAAAACCCCCTGGGGGAGATTTAAGAATTCTTATGAACAGACTGCACTCCATACCAGTTAAATCACAAATTCAAAATATCTGATGGTGGGACTCAGTTATCAGCATTTCTCAAAGCTCCTGGATGATTCCAAAAGTGTAACCAAGGTTGAGAAAAACTGTTGAGGTCTGTGTTCTTACTTAGCCATTTGAATAGTCACTGCACCTTATTGGATTTCAATGTTCTCATCTGTAAAGTAACAAGTATCCCTAAGTCCCTTCCAGCTCTAACCTGAATTCCAAGGATTCAGACTTGGTTTATCTCTAATCAGACAAATTTTCATACAACATACAGTCAACCCTCCTTATCTGCGGGTTCCATATCCATGGATTCAACTAACTGGAGGTTGAAAATATTTTTAAAAATTTGAAAAAGTGAAACTTGAATTTGCTGCATGCTGGCAACAATATACATATAATTTATATTATATTTACAGTAATTTACACAGCATTTATATTTTATTAGGTATTGTAAGTAACCTATGGATGATTTAAGGTACATGAGAGAGTGTGCATAGGTTACATGCAAATACTACACCATTTTATATAAAGGAATTGAGCATCCTAGGAATTTGGATGGAATAGGGGCAGTCTTGGTACCAGTCCTCTGCAGATACTGAGGGAGGACTGTATTTCAAGATAACTGAAATATTATGAAGACTATCATAAAGAAATTAGAAAGCATGGTTTAAAATATGGTTCATGGGTAGCAACATCTTTTAATAGGTAATTAGTAATAGCTATAAATAAGTATCCTTTGGGAATGGAGCCTATGTCATACCTTCCTAACCTTTTCTCTGTCTGGATTAAAAGACTGATAGAAATGTTTAATGAAAAAGAAATAGGAGAGTATGTAGTTTTCTTTCTGAATCAAACATTGTGAATAGAATGTATAACTTACAGTGAACAGCTCTGGATTTTAGTGTGGAAATGTGGATTTTTTTCTTTTTTACCTTTACCGAACTTCCTTTGCCTTTGGTGGGGCCACTTCCACCTCTTCAATGGAAAATGGTGCACCAGGCTTCCAGAGTATGGCTGCTCTGCACCTGATAACCTGGGAAAAAGAATATGGGCACAGAAAGGGAAACTCCTTAGGCTTGGGAGTTGGAGAATTCCTAAATTAATGAGTATTAAAAGGTCACATTTCTTCTGCTCTGAGCCAAAAAAAAAATCATTGCTTAAATATATGCTAAAGGTAGACTCTTGAACCTCAATTTAACTTTTCTTGTACTATCAGTCCCTATATTCAAATTAGTCTTGTAATACTAACTATATTTATATAGTGCTACACAACCAAGAGGATAGATGTCATACTTTTGATCTTACCATGAATGAAGTTGTCCAGTTTCAGGGTGGAAATGACATTGCAGTGTAGGAATTATTTGTGATCCAAGATACGGGGGAGGATCAGTTTTTGGGTAGAGGTAGGAATGAGACCATCTAGCTATGGCAATTCATCAAATGGTGGTGGTCATTGGCAGACTGACATTGGAAAGGTTGTTGGTGGCAGGGTAGCTCTTAAGGGTTCTGATATCAGCCAACCTCTGTTCTCATAAATTCTCTTCCTATGTGGTCTCACCTATTTTTGTAGATTCAACCACTACCTCTGTGTAGGTGACTTTCACAATCTGCATCTTTGGACAGAATTGTCTCTAAGTTTAAGACTCTATTCATCTGCTATTTCAATGTCCCGCAGGTACCTCAAACTTAACATGTTAAAACATGAACACATCATTGTTTCTTCTGCTTCCCTCTTCCCCCTGCCCAGTGGTGGAAACAACACACAATCTGTTCTTTCCTCTGCATTCTCTATTTCATTGAGTGGCCATGTAACCTATTCACTCACTGAAGAAAGAAATCTGGGAAGTAGCCTTAATTTTTCTTTTTCTGTCAACCTCCACAATCTAAAATTTTCTGTAATCTGTCCCCTCTTCTCCATTCCTGCTACTACTGTGTGGTTCAGGTCCTCATTGCCTTTTACCTGGCTTGATTTCATCACCTTCAAGCCCATCTTCTATAACATTTCTATCTGAACTATAATTTTGATCATGCTAATTCCCTACCTAAAAATGATACTGCTACCAATTCTTTATTAGACTCTGTTGACAAGTCTACAAGACTTGTCCCTGTCAGTCTCTCCAACCTTATTTCTGGTCACTTCCTGCCTCCAGGCACAAAAAATATTCTGGAGATTCTCATATGGGATATTTTTCTTGATTCTCTGTTTCTCCTCATGTTGTTTCATCTGCCTGCACAACTGTCTCCTCTTTAACGTGAATTCTTACATCTGTAAGTTTCCTCTTAGGTGTCACCTTCTCTGGGATGCCAGACCAGATTAGGAGCGCTCTCTCTCTCTCTCACTACCCTTGCACACTCTTTTATAGTCACTCTTTTATAATTGCTAGGTCTCTCTGTGAGATCCTTGAAGGAGAGGTTATGCCTTTGGCTCTGGAATGTTTGATATAGGACTTGCTATGTTGCCTACTGAAGGGCTGAAAAAATTGAGGAAAGGCAAAGCACCTAAAGGGAATAAAAGAAAAGGAGGGAAAAGGAGAAGTACTAAGATTAAGACTGTCTCTCATCTTTAGGAGTATAGAGACCAGTTAGGTGATGAGCTGTTGGTAAATAGACAAGCACACAGATTAACACAATTATACATGACATAAAGGAGAAAACTATACTTACTTTCCCTGTAGTACTCATGCTGACTTTCTCTGTGTTCTTCTGGGCACAGATGAATATACTGAGAAAAAGAGATTTTGGTTACAACTTTCAAAGTCCAAGAGAGTAGAGGTTACTGTTTGATCAAGAGGCTGGATCCTAAGCTTTGTGTATAACCAGGTAATTAATACACCTGATATCTGGAGACTCAGATTTTCCTATTCCCTGAGGAAGGTAAAATATGAACTAGACTTAGCCCAGTGAAAATGCACAAAGGTGAAATTGTGCAAACTTTTTTTCTTTCCTCAATCATAAAGTTCTCCCCTTAGTAGCTACTCTGTTGAATTTTAAATTTGGTCTTTTAAATGTCCAAGTTTAAAATTTCTAATAGCATGTATAAAATTGTCTATGTTGTTTTTCAAATGCAGATATGATACCTGTGACTCTAAACCTGAGTTTGATTTTGATTTGATTTTCCAAACCTGTGTCCCATTTTGAGGAATTATGGTGTTATCAGACAGTTTATCTAGTAATTTCGCATAAGCGCCTCACCTCTTGGTATGCTTAGCTGGTTACTTAGAGGAACTGAAACCAATGTGTGAGAAACCTGACAATCAGGATTTGAATTTGAGAAAATCTCTGTATGTGAATCAAGAGAGTTTTGAGCAGGACCCTGATGAACATGGGAACAAGGAAATACATTTCTAATGAAAAACAACACCAATGGGCAGGTTTTAGCTGGAAGGGAAGAGAGGAAGCATAAATGTTCTCTCTGTGTCATGATATGATTATATGTTTTTTCTTCTTTGGCCTGTTGGATTATGGTGGATTATATTAATTAATTTCCAGATGTTGAACCAGCTTTAAATACCTGAAACAAATCCCACTTGGTGTATTAATTTTCTTTCTTTGAACTGTCTTTGTCTGATTTTGGTTTCATAGTAATACTAATTTTATAAAATTATTTTCTCTTCTATTTTCTAAGAGAGATTGTGTAGAATTGGTGTTAATCCTTTAAATGTTTGGTAGAATTCTTCAGTGAAATCATATGGGTCTACAGATTTCTTTTTGGGGATGTTTTAAATTAGGAATTCAGTTATCTTCATATTTGTAGGGCTTGTAAGTTGTCTATTTCATATTTGGTGAGTTGTGGTAGTTTGTAGTTTTTGAGAAAATAGTACATTTCAACTAAATTGTCGAATTTATGTGTGTAGATTTGTTAATGGTATTCATTTATTATTTTTTTGGTATCTGTTGTGTCTGTAGTGATATACACTGTTTTATTGCTGATTATTGGTAATTTATGTCTTCTTTCTGTTTTTCTTTGTCAGTCTTGCCAGAGGTTTGTTAATTTTATTGATCTTTTCAAAGAACTAGTTCTATTTCATTGATTTTTCTCTATTTAAAAAAATTTCACTGACTTTTGCTGTTATTTTTTCTTTCTGCTTATTTTTAGTTTATTTTGCTCTTTTATTTATGGGATCATGAAGTGTGAGTGTGTATTATTGATTTACAGCTTTTCCTCTTTTCTAACATAATAATTTAGTGCCATGTATCTTATTCAGTGCAGCTTTAGCTGTGTCACACTAATTTTGATATGTTTTTTCATTTTTATCATATAAATATTTAAAAAACTTTCCCTTGAATCTTTTTCTTTGACCTACAGATTATCTAGCAGTGTGTTGTTTAGCTTCCAAGTGCTTAGAGATTTTCCTTTTATTTCCATTATTTATGTCTAGTTTGATTTCCATTATTGATTTCTAGTTTAATTGTGATCAGATAACATACTCTGCATGATTTCAGTTCTTTTACTTTTGTTGAGATATGACCTATCTTGGGATGTTTTGTGGGCACTTGAAATGAATGTGTATTCTGCTGTCTTTGGGTAGAATGTTCAGCAAATATCTCTTGGATCCCCTTAATTGATGATGTTGTGAGTTCTATACCTTTGCCTTCTTTCTGTCTAATTTTTCTATCAGTTCTTCAGACAGGGATGTTGAAGCATTTAACTAAAATTGTTGATTTGGCTATTTTTTTTTCTTTCAATGCTGACAGATTTTGACCCACAAGTTTGTAGCCCTGGTACATACACATTTAGGATCATTGTCTCTTCTTGGTAGATTGCCCTTTTATCATATAATACTTCTCTTTGCCTCTGATACATTTATTTTCTCTGAAGTCCACTTTATCTGATATTAATATAACCTCTCTTTCCTTCTTTTTTTCCCCCCTATTTTATGATTAAATTTTATTTTATGGCTTACAATATTTTATTTCCAGTTAAGTAGAAAAATGTTAATGTGTTTTTATGGGATATTTAAATGTTGTGGTATTGGTTTTTTTTCCCACTCTTGCCTTCTTTTGATTAATGTTTGTGTGATATGTATTTTTCATCTTTTTTCTTTCAACCTACCTATACTCAAAGTGAGTTTCTTATAGACAAGATATATTTGAGTCATGTTTTTAAATCTACTCTGTCCATTTATATCTTTTTCAGACAGTTTTATTGAGATTGTATTCACTTACTATTCAGCCATTTAAAGTGTAAAATTCAATTTTGTTGTATATTCACAGATATGTGCAACCATCACCACAATCAATTTTAAAGTACTTTTAACACCTCAGAAAGAAAGCGACACCTCTCTAAACCTTCATCATTACCACCACCACCTTGGCCTTATGCAACAATTCTTCTGCTTTCTGTCTGCATAGATTTACCTATTCTGGACATTTTAAATGAATGGGATCACATGATATGTGGTCTTTTATGACTAAATTCTTTCACTTAGCATAGTGTTCTCAAGGTTCACCTATGTTGTAGCTTAAACCAATTATTCATTCCTTTATATGGCATTGTGTGGATATACTACATTATCCATTCATCAGTTTTTCATTAAGTGAATAAGTCTAATGTAACATTTAAATTTTTTAAATGACTTTTTCTTTTTACTATGTTCTTTCAGTCATTTCTTAAGTGGTTAGTCTAGGATTTACCATTTACATATTAACTTATAAGAACTAGCTTCAGAATTTTAGTAAGTTAATTCCGGTCAGATATAGAAAAGTTGCTACTTTTAATCTCTATTACCTCATCATTTGTCATATTATTATCATATATATGATATCTATAAATGTTAAAAATTAGTAATACATTGTTACAAAAATGATTTTATATATTTTATGTCTTTAAATGAAGCTGAAAAAGGAAGATGAGCTAGTATATGTTTTACCTTTTGATATATTAACTTTTTGATTTATTATTTCTAATTTTCTTTATCTATTTCTATGATTAAATTACCATCTGGAGATTTTTTTCCTTAGCTCAGGAAAAAAACTTTGCTTCCACCCATCTTTTTGTGCTATTATTACACAAATATATTATATAAAGATATTATAGAGAGAAGCAGGGTGGCGGAGTAGAAGGGTGTTTATAGCTCACCTTCTCCCACAAATACACCAAAACTCACATCTACAGACCCACTCAGCCAACCAGAGCACCTGCAGAACTCTGACAGAACATCACCCTCTTCGAAAGACAAAGACGCCAAAAATCTGGTAGGAGAAAAGGAAAAAAGAAAGAAGAAAAAGCAAAACAGCGCGGGACCATTCCTGTGGAGAGGGAGTGGCAAAGGAGGAATAGCGCTTGTTCGCTGGGTCTCCCCTCTCCAATGGAGAGGCCAGAGGGACTGAGGGGGAGCCTCCGAGGCTTGGATCTGCCCTGAGCACCCCTTGACCAACAGAACTAAGTTAAATAGGTACAAAGGGTCCCTTCAACACCCAGCCTGAGACGTGAGCTGGCAGCTGGGGGCTGGGACAGGCTGCCCAAGCCGGGTGGAGGACTGGGGCGGCTGCACTGATGCAGACGCGGGGGACTGCAGGGTGTTGCGTGCTGTGGCTGGGAGGTGATACGGGGCAGAACAACGTGCGAAAAAAGCAAAGCAACATGGCTGGTGTGCCTTGCGGGGAGGGGCGCCATAGCCTTTGTCTCCTCAGATCCACGATGCCATTACTGGCACTTATCGTGAGAAGAGAGGAGGGCATAGGTACATCGGCCATGTCCTCCTGTGTGCAGCGCCCGGGTGGGGGCAGGGCCGAGCCCTTAATCCACACCCAGGGGCTACCTCCTGGGCAGGACTGTGACTTGTTTATAGCCTGAGGCAGATAGGATCTTTCTGCCCTGGCACCTCAGAGAACTCACACCGCCAAGACAAACAAGGAGCTGAGTTTTGGCACAGAGCAGGGGAGGGGCTATTCCGTGGTCTTCCCCGAGCCCGCCTATGGAGCGCCGACTGGAGGTGGAGCGGGCAGCTGCACAGAGCAGCAGAGACCTGCACTGGGAGAGGGCGGGCAGCCACCCGCCTTCTTGGCAGGAATGTAGCACCTGACCATGGTGCAGGGAGGGGGCGCAATCCGCCCACCTGCCTCGCCTGAGTGCAGCATCTGACTGCATTGGGAAGGGGAGTGACCTGCCCACCCACTGGTGTCAGAGAGATATGACCAATATGAAGAAGCAGAGGAACCACTCCCAATTAAAAGATCAAGAGAAATCCTCTGAAAGCACAATCAAGGAAATAGACATTGATGGCCTACTAGATCAAGATTTCAAAAAAGGAGTACTGAAGGAAGTACTGAAGTACTGAAGAAACTAAAAGAAATAGTGTTTAAAGATATAAAATATGCCAAAAATGAAATAGAAGCTATAAAGAAGAACCAAGTAAAATTAGTAAGCTCATTTGCTGAGATGAGAGCTGACCTAAAGGCTGTACAAAGCAGTCTAGATAATGCAGAGGAACAAATAAGTGACCTAGAAGACAGGACAACAGAAAGCACCCAATCAGAACAGCTGAGAGAAAAACATAAAAAACAATGAAAACAATATAAGGGACCTATGGGATAATATAAAGCATGCCAATCTACATATAATAGGGGTTCCAGAAGGGGAAGGAGGAACAAAGGGGATTGAAAAGGTATTTGAAGAAATAATGACTGAAAACGTCCCAAACCTAAAGAAGGTATCAGGTATTCAAGTACAGGAGGCTCAGAGGGTCCCAAACAGGAAGAACCCAAACACACACCAAGACATATAATCAAGATGGCCAGAGTCAAGGATAAAGAAGTGATCCTAAAGGCAGCAAGAGAAAAACAAAGAGTGAGTTACAAGGGAACCCCCATAAGG